CAATTTATTCCAAAACAAATAGGATATCTGGTAACTTGGGTTAGGAAAAATAATAATATTAAAATAATAACATGTTAAAAAATGATTAAAAACAACTCTGTTTGAATGGAATTAAAAGGTTTGTAATAATAGGAATTAAAATAAAACTAAGCTAAACAAATGAAAATTAAACAATAAAAATACTAAAAATGCCAAAAAGAGAATAAAAAATATTACCCCAAACCCGAGTTATCAAATACCCCCACACTTAAGAGTTGAACGTCCTCGTTCAAGGGCCAAAAGGAATATATTATTTCTTTTTATCATCATCAAGAAGAAACAAAGTGAACTTTAAACCCCCACACTTAAGACTTTATGCTCATTCACATTTTAAAAACAAAGTGAGCTAGAAATCCTACTAGGATGGAAAACTAAGATGTGGATTTTTTTGGGTTCTAACAAATGCTCTAAAGCTGCTACAAAAAAGTTTCCTAGCGGAATCCTATGGTTTAGAACGGCTTAATAGCAGCGGTAGCAAGGTTCATCAATAAGCTTAAAAATATAAAAATCACTCAATTTTCTAAAAATAAGAGGCTCCTAAAACTGGTTTCTCTCTCTTTTTTTTTAGATTTTAACATCAAGCAATGGTTGTTTAGGCAGCATCTAGATAGTATGTGAATGGCCAGTTCTAGAAAACAAAATTCTAAGGTAACCTAGAAGGATTTCAAACATTTTAAGGTCATTTTTATCAAGAAAAGAGCATAAGACTCAATGCGGGTTTATAAAGTATACACTTGCCATCTTTCAAAATAAAGCCCCAAGGAAAATGATGAGGTTTTTGGGTCAATTTTTGAAAACAATGCTCTAAATAAGATGATATGCAACTAGGAATGAAAAATATTTGGACCCAAAACCTATTTTTTTGAAAAAATTTTGCCCCAAAAGTTTTTTTTTAAGCAATGACATAAGCATGAGCAACTCCCCCCACACTTAAAATGTGCATAGTCCCCAATGCATCTATATGGTATGCAAATATTAAGCAAGCACAGACTTAGTAAAGAGAAAAGGGGAGAGGGGAATGCAACTAAAAAAACAAAGTATACGCAGCATCAACTCATCACTTTTCCCTCCTTAAAGTGCTCGATGGACCTAAAATCTGCAAAAACATGACTAAGACCAAGTCTTTTAGTATTGACGAACTAAAAATCTGATTCAAAGAAATGCAGATTTCAAGCCTCAAGTCAGGTTCCTGAAAACACAGATTCTTGTGCCTTTTCAAAACAGAAAACTGTAAATGAAAAGGTTAGTTATGTCATGCACGTGCAAAGCAGCTTATATGCATCTATTAAACATCATAATTCAGCACATATGCATCTGATGAACTCAAAATCAGATTGAACACCAAGAAAAGATTGCAGATTTTTTCTATTTCAGCACCTATAAGCTGTAAAAAGTGTGAAATTTGCATTTTGCACTCAAAAAATCAGCTTACAAGTCCAAAAATAACTTTTCAAAATGCAGAACTTTTCATTAGTATCCAAAAATCAGCTGTAAACAATGCATATGTCTCAATTTTCAGCTTAAATATGTCCATACAATAGCACCCAATCCTTAAGGAAAATGAAATTTGACAACAGAGAAAACATTGGGTACTTAAGGCCGCTGATCTGAATCAGAATTTTGCACATTAATAATGCAGATATTTACCATTGAAGCTCAAAAATCAGATTTGAATGGGTAGGTTATTCACTTTTGCAAGAAAAATTATGACTTTATAGTGCAGATTCTCATTGTGCAAACTGTAATATCAGAAACCAAACTTTGAACACAAAAAGGATAAGGAAACTGAAGCTTAAACCTGGGACAGCTGGAACTACTGATTTGGATCAGATTTCACACCTGTTTGTGCAGATTTTTACTCCAAAGGGCATGCTTCTACCTATGACTTAGTAGCTCTTGAATATTCACTCAAATAAATGGTTAGGAGCATACATGGAGCAAAATAAACCATCAAATCCAGTAAATGCAGCAGTATTCTGAGTACTCTTGATGATGAAGTTTTTTCATTTTTTTGATTTTTTTTCTGTTTTCTAATTTTCTGGTTTTTTTGTTTTGTTTATTAAAGCAAAAGATAATCAAGAAACAATAGAAAAAACTAAATTAAGAACGGAAACAGTAGGTGGGTTGCCTCCCATAAGCTGCCCGGTTTAACGTCCTTCGCTAGACGAAACTAGGAAGAGTTCTAAGGTTCGGCTTCTAGTACTAACTCCTCCACTAGTCCTGCAAATCCTCCCTCACAAAAAAGTTTTAACCTATGTCCATTAACCTTAAAAGTAACTCCAGAGGATTCATTCTTAATGTCTACCGCTCCATGGTTATACGTCTTAACAACGGTGTAGGGTCCTAACCATCTAGAGC